TTCATGGTGGTTTTAATTTGCATTTCCCTCATGACTATGATAGATCTTTTCACATGCTTATTAGTGCATAAAATTTTGTTTGATGAAAGGTTCAGGTACTTAAAAAAAAGGTTGAAACCTACTGGCTTAGATAAACTGAATCTCTTAGATCTCTTAGTGGGGCCCATGGGCCATCTCCTCTGCTGAAACAAAGTAGTCTCTGTAGGTAAATCATCAGCATAAGCGCTGTGCTTTGTTGTGAGTGGGTGAGAAATGAAACAACCAATCCCAAATCTGAAATTATGAAATCCAAATTGTTCTGAAAACCAGATGTTTTTTTCTTGGTTGGCACCAAAATCCACTGGTAGCAAAGCCTGACATAAATATCTGTTTTTTGTTTTCTTGCAGAAGGACCCTCTGTTGTCCCATGCCTGTGTCGGCTGCCTGGAGGCCTTGCTTGACTACCTGCATGCCAGAAACCCAGATATGGGTAGAAACTCTCCCCATTCTCTGATGTTCCCATGCGGGAAACGGGGCAGGGGGGCGGGCAGCCTCTGTTACCTCCTGCTCCAGACTGCCATCCCCTTGTTCTGCACGGCACACTAATTTTGTCCAATTCTTTTAACAACCCTGCACGGGCAGTGTTGTGCCTGGTATGCAGATGAGGACACTGAGGCTCAGAGAGGTCAGGCAACACACCCACCAGTCATAAAGCTATTAAGTGGCAGAGCTCTTCCTGCTGCCCGCCTCCCTCAACAGTGGGGTATGTGGTCTCCCGGAGCCAGGCTGCAGAGGTCGATAGAAGCCTAGGGAAGAAAGCAGCTTCCTTGGGTCGCCTGTCCAGCACCCTGCCTCCAGCTGAGTAACCCTTTTTGAGCCAGCAGGGGAAAGTGCTCCTTAGTAATGTCCCAAGACCTTTGGAAAAGCAGCACCGACAGCCCATGGTGACTGGTGTTTCCTATAGCACTACACGTGGCCTCCCAGCCTTGGAATAGGTTTTTGCTGTTTACGCTCCTGGATGCTGGAGAGAATTCTTTCCTCAGGCCTGAGATCTTGAGGCTCATGACTCTGGTAAGTGCGGAAAGGGTGGTCTTGTGGTCTGGATAATGTCATGAGCTGGATGGTCCTGAGGAGGCCAGGGTCGCCTTAGTTTTAGGTAACCCTAATCCTCAAAAGGTAGAGGGGGCTGGGTAGACCTTCACCCTGCCAGAGGCCTTCACCCTGCTCAGAGAATTGCTCTCAAGGCCCAATCTCCCCACCCCCGAAGAGCCAGATATTTTCGTCCACGCCCTCATAAAGCATCGACCAGAGCCGGCCTGCCACATGCCGGGTCCTACCCCAGGGACTAGAGATGCCGATGAGCCAAATGCTCTGCCCTTGAGGATCTCTGTGTAGAAAAGGAGAGAGACGAGGAAACTGTAGTTAGAGTGGGACGTTATCCGTGCCAGAGTAGAAGAGGTGCTAAGGGCCTGGTTCGCAGTAAGTGCCTGCTGAATAAACAACAAAACATCTGGAGAGCTTCCGGGTCAGTGAACACTTAGACATTTGGGGAAGCTGTGTGTCCCCATACCGTACCTTGACCTGTGCATCTCTTGCATTTGGCTATTCCTGAGTTATATCCTTTTATAATAAACCGGTGATCCAATCAGCAACAAAGGCCCAGAGAATTTAAATGATTTGCCTAAAGCCCACACAGAGACTTTCTGATCTCAGGCAAACCAGGGACCTTGGCTGCTTCTACCTCATAGCTCCACTGTCTCAACACCGGGGCTGCGTGTTTGCCGCCGAATGGCAAGGGAAGCACGGGGATGGCACACTGGCTCCTGCCTAACTACAAATGGGCGTTCCAGGAAGGAGGGAAGGACGAGATGTGAATGAGTAGTTGTAGCGTCTCCTACAAGCTGTCATGTAGTAGGCGCTCAATTAAAACGCAACGATTATAAAATACAAAAACCATGAGCCTGGTAGTACAGTGGATCGTGCAGTGGATGATAGTGCAGTGGATTGGCGAATAAATCGGTGCTAGGCTGGGAAGAGAGTAAGTGACTCTGAAGAAGAAAGAAAGTGCTCTGCCAGCGCTGGGAGGGGGAGGTGAATACAAGTGTAGTCGGCACTGGTGCCTGTCTGTAATAAAATGAAAGAAGGTCATTAGTGAGCATACCATTTTAGCCGAGGCCTGAAGGACTAATAGGCAAAGAGAGGGCAGTGTGACCCAGGCAGTGAAGTGAGCGCAGAACACAATGAGCAGACGGTGGTGTGTTTGGGTAACCACACGCAGTCCATTTTGGTCACAGGTGTGAGGCGCAAGGCCAGGGGTGGGGAGTTCCTGAAGGGCCACCTCTCTCAGGGTCTGAAGTCTGTTGCATTTACCCCACTCTTCCGTGGCACAACCCCAACCCTGCTCACCGACTCTGAGCTCCTAGAAGGCAGGGCGCTGTGGGCTACAGATCAGCGTCCTTAGCCCAGCGCCGAGCACAGCAGGGGCACAGGCAATGTCTGTGAATGGAAATGCTGAATTGCTCCATGTTTGGGGCTTCTTGGGCAGTTTGTGCGGTTCCAGAGCAGCAGCATCCTCTCTCATGAAGAGGTGGGTCTTGTTCTGCAAGGCGCAGCTTTGGCTGACCTCTCCGCCCTCTCGAACACCACACTCCAGGCTCTGCGTGGTTTCCTCCTGCAGGTGTGTAGGAAGGGGGTGCGTGTAGTCACTGAGGCTAGACCCTCCACACCCTCATCTCTGTGGAGGGTGGGGGCTCCGGCCACAGCAGCCAGTGATGGGGCAGGAGTACAGGGGGTGGAGGGAGGGGGGAGGGCCTGTGTGGAGGAGGCTCCGAAAAGGCCCGTCTTCCCTGTCTGCTTCTTCCCTCAGGTCCAGGTCGTGGGCCTCCCGGCCGACTGCAGTGTGGCCCAGACACTGCAGGCCTCCTTGGAGGGCCTTCCCGCCAGGGCCGCCTCCACCCAGCCACCCCTGCAGGACATGCTGTATCCTTTCTTGCATGTGGGAGCTTTGGTCTGGGCAAGGACACCCAGGCTACGGGATGGGGTAGCATCGTGCTTCAGGACAGAGAGGTGCACTGCCTACAGCCCTGTCCTCTAAAGCAAGCAGGGGTTGGTGAGAATAATTAATAGTGATAGCAATGACAATGACTTGTTCTGTTTATTAACAAAGATCCTACCAAGGGCCAGTCACCTTACATGCACTGCATCTAATCCTCATAGCAACTAGGAGTATTAATGTAGTTGTACCTTAGACCAGAGAAGTTAAATGACATGCTCAGGATCACACAGTGGTAGCATCAGGATTTGATCATAGGTTTATGTTTCCAAAGGCACATCACCAAACTATGGAAAGAGCTAGTTCTTCCCTAGGAGCTTTAGAGCAAGTCGCCCGGCGCAGTTGGCACAGGTGCTTCCCTCAGCCCAAGATGGTGCTGGGTGACTGGCATGTCCCGGAGAAAGCCTGGGGTTGTGGACAGTGGTCAGAGACCCTCAGGGGGTTGTTGCGGTGCTCCAGAGACACTTGGGTCGGGGTGCGCGTGTGTGTGTGTGTGTGTGTGTGTGTGTGTGTGTGTGTGTAGGTGCTTGCTCCCCATCCTACTGGCTGCCTTCCTGGCACTCTTTTCCTTTGTCCAGGGAATAGTCCCCTGCTGTGACAATTACCTAGCCCAGGTGTGCAGGTTCCAATTGTAGAATCCAGCCCACTCTACTCAGGAGCACCTCTGTTCGTCTGATGGTTCTTACCCTTTTGGCGCTCTGGAAGTGTGGTTCCCCCATGGTTGGCCCTACCTCTCCGGTGTTCTCCTCTCATGTTCTGCTGCCAGCTGCCTGGGAGGGGTGGCTGTATCCCTGTCCCACATCAGAGGCTGACCCGCAACAACTGAAGACCCAGGAAATGGAGAGAACTGAGACCTGAAGACAGCAGGGCACAGTGGTTTGGGGAAATGGACGACAACTGCAGCCATTCATCTGGAGCCATTTACTCATCAGGAAATAAAATGATACATTCAACATGCCTACGTGAACTCCAAAAACTTTTCACTTTCAACCTATCTTGGCCCCTTTCAGCTGTTTCTCTAGTCAGGATGGAGGGCCTCCTCGGGGAAAGGGGGCGGGGGGCAAGATGTGTCCTCTTAACACAGAAAGAGCACCACTGCTAGCTGGTTGCCTCTGTTGTACCCAGAAAACACTATCCATCCTCAGGGCTGGAAAGGCCATGAGAGGCCATGTCTTCCGCGCTGCTGTTATTCAGGTGCTCTCAGAGGCATTTTACCTGCTGCCTCTCCTCGGGTGGAGGTAGAAGTAGTTTCCAGGCAAGGAAGCTGAGCAGATCAAATCCTCTTCAGCCTTTCTAGCTGAGCGGAGAGCTGTACCGGCCCAGCCCTTCCCTGGCTATAGTAGGTCCTCTGTGCTCCTTTAACGGCCCTCCTTGGAGCTTGTATGCCCACGCGTGCAGTTCTTTTAATGTCTGCGCTCCGTAACTGCCCACTCCCGTTCCACGCCAGGCCACGGGGCCTGTAGCTCCTTTCTAGAATACCTGCCTGCAAGGGTCCCAGTGCCAGGGACGGACCCCGCCAAAAGTGATTTTAACTCCCTCCTAATGAACGGGCAGGGAAGCCCCGTATACACGGGATTTAGAGCTCGGAGGGGCGAGCGGGGGATGCGCCGACTCCGCACTGCTGGTTACTTTAAAAAAAGAAAGTGCTAGTCACGACCCACTGAACCGATTTTGCCGAAACCCTGCCGTACGACGACAGTTTCGAAGAGCGCGCGGGGCCCCACTTTGCTGACGCACCCTCTACGCTGGGCGCCGACTGAACTTCCTCCAATCCGATCTTTATCGAGCCCCACGTTCCGGAGCTCCACGCGCGAGGACGGAGCCCCGCTTCAGGGAACCTCGCTCGCGACCTGCCCGAGAGGTACGCGAGGCGGACCCGGAAGTGAGGTCACTGCCGCGGGCGTCGCGGCCCTCATTCATTGGCTAGGAGTGGCGTGGTGGGCGGGACGGCGCGCGGTGGTCCCAGAGCTACAGCTCACCGGTACTGTGAGGTTCTGCTCCTTTGCGGGTGTCCCGGCGGACTTAAGAGCCGCATGTCTAGGGCTGCGGCTGCCCCTTCCCGCAGCTCTGGCCTCGTAGGTGGGGGTCGAGTCCCGGACAGGTAGGCTCCCCGTGGGTGGGGGACAGAGAGTGTGGGCCCTCGAACCGGCTGCAGGCAGTGAGAGTTAGGATTCTCATCTTCCTTTTGGAAAGATTCCTCTCCTCCCGGAGCCCCAAAGCTGGAATCGGCAACCGGGGTCTGCGAGCCCAGATAGCTGGCTCAGGCCTGGCCCGCCATTACCACGCTGCTCTTGCAGAATGGGTTCAGAGTAGTTCGCGGAGCTGGTAAGAGCTCTAGGGACGCACGGGCGGGGAGCAGGATTGGGAGGCCGGAAAGTGGAAATAACGGTAGGGAAGGCAGACCCTTCCCCACGCAGTCTGTTTTTTTTTAAGCTTTCCTTTCCCACTCTTCCCCTGCTTCAGTCACTGTCTGGTGTCTGATAACCCCCTGCCCCCAGGTTCTCTTCTAGCTTGTGTCTAGTTTCCTGAGTCTTAGGTGTGACATTGGAAGGTAGGGGGTTCTGGGTGAACTTAGACTACTTTTCATTCTCTCGGTTTCAGCTGCATTACCTGTGTGTGGTGGGGGTGGTTCTCTTGGTGACCTCTGCAGACCTCACCATCAGTAACTGCGCATCTCTCCCTTGGGACAGGTGTCCTGGTAGAACAGTGACCTGCTCGGGGATAGTCTGTGCTCATTTAGACTCTTGGTTTAGCCCGGGAATAGTGGAGTGGCTGGGCAGTTACCTCACTTTTCTGTGCCTTGGTTTCCGCGTTGGTGAAATCGGGCCCCTGTCATCTGAAGCCGAGGCCTTATCTGACCACGGTATTTAATATTGCACACCACCAACTTCCTCTCCTTCTTCTGTGCTTATTTTACAAGTTTATTGGTTATCTCTTATTCTTACCAGGGAAATAACTACAATGAGTGCAGGGAGTTTTGTCTTATTCACTGGTGTATTCCCAGCTCTAAAACAGAACATGGTAGGTACTCAATAAGTAATGGGGGCATGTTGTCTGAATAGGAGTAGGTGTTGCTTGTGGTGCCTATGGTTCCAGAGTGAGTAACAGCCCTTTTATCCCAAGACTGTCCTGCTTCCCTTCCTGCTGTGTGTCCCTTTCTTTCTGAAGGAAGTCAGGAAGGAAAGGAAACACCAGAAGTTTCACAACCCCTCTGACTGCCTGGGCCTCCTTGACCTGATGCCTTCCTGGGAGGCCAGGACGGAGGGCGTGGGGTTGAGAAGGAATGATACTGACCAGCCCCTTATCCCTGTTTTACAGTGAGGAAGCTGAGGCTCAGAGAGGCTGAGCCATTGGCCCAATGTCCCATAGTCAGGACGAGCCAGGGCTCCAGCTCAGAACTCCAGACGCTGACCCCTGTGCTCCAAGCCAGCATCCCTGCATCGCTGGCATTTATATTCCTCCCTCCTGCCCACTGTCCCACGGTCTTTATTCTGTCTGCTGGTCACGGGCTGTGGGCTAGGGACCGGGACTCCGGGGCTTCCCAAAGTTGGGTTCTTGGTACTTGGAGGCTATGCCGTGTCAGGGGAAGTTGCCATTCACCTCCTCTGTTTTCCAGAACACCCAACTCCAGGTCTCACTTGGTTCCTCTGGGTGACTTGCCTAGCTCCAGGGTCGTGGATATGGACCTCTCTCACTTCCTGGTCTTCCTGTTTGTCCTGCTACTATCTGGGACGGGAGCCACAGGCTCCCTGAAGACCTCCCTGGACCCAGGCCTGGAGATCTGTATCCTTTGGCGTTGGAAGTGGGCTGTGCCTGAGGGGTCTGTAATGACGTATTCATACTCACAACCTCCTGGGGCATCCTAGGGATGGATCAGGCCCAGCCGATGGGAACAGGGGAGAACAGGTCAGGTACTCTCATCAAACCTTGATCAAGTCCACTCTCTTCTAAGTCTCAGTTTCCCTACTGTATTCAGTGGAGAAGGCAAGGCACATCTCTCAGAGCCACGAGGGCTCTGAGCATTATACATACGTGTCTAGCACCTTGTGGGTGAGACCCTGGGCAGGGACTCCGGTGCTGGTATACTGGGCCACCTACTCTGGGCCAGGCCTTGGGGACACAGAGATGAGTCAGGACCAGTCAGTCCCTGGCTTTGAAGCCTTCATAGGCCTCACATTGTACTTTGTGATCAGTGGTTTGATACGGAACATGAGAGAAACACTGCGCTCTGGCTTCTGAACTGGATCTTGAAAGAATCGAGACTCGTAGAGAGGGGTCGGGGGCAGAGCGTGCAGTGTGAGCAGGGGAGCGGAGGTTCTGGGAATGGCGAATGGTTGTAGGAGTTGGCAGAAGGACTGGGGAGGAGTGGGCCGGGGCCAGGTCCTGAGGGGTTGTGTCTGGGCTCTTGGGTGTGGGACCCCTTGTGGACTGGACGAATGATACATTGCAGGATGTGAGGGCTTCCCAGTGTGTTACTTCCACGGGGGGCTGGGCCTCAGGCATGGGCATCCGTGGCCTCTGCAGGTATTTGCTGATCGGGAGTGGGCCCTCTGGGTCGGGGCCAGGCAGGGGTGTTGGTGCCAGCTCCTTAACCCGATGCTGCTCAGACAAGAAGCTGTTTGAGGTGAAGCGGCGGGAGCAGCTGTCGGCACTGAAAAACCTGGTGCAGCTGAACGACGTCCACCAGCAGTACAAGATCCTGGATGTCATGCTCAAGGGGCTCTTCAAGGTGCGTACAGGCATGGGGCAGCTCGTGGCTGACCTCGCGTCTGACCTGGGAATCTTTGTATCTTTGATCAACTGAAGGATGAGTAGGAGTTTGCAAGGGGGTGGGGTTCAGCGGGGGAACTACGTGTGCACAAAAGATCTGAAGTAGGGTTTAAGTAAACGGACGGGGCCATGGCGGTCTGGGAGTCGTCTGCAGAGCCACTCAGCCCGGGGGGTTCCCTCAGGTGCTGGAGGACTCCCGGACAGTGCTCATGGCCGCGGACGTGCTGCCGGACGGGCCCTTCCCCCAGGACGAGAAGCTGAAGGATGGTAGGGTTTTCCCAGTCTCTCCCTCTCCTCCCTGCCACCTTGACCTTCTCTGGTGGTTTCTTCCCTTCTGTGTCTGCCACTCTTCTGTCTGGTGTTCCCCTTTGGTGGATGGGCGCTTAGTATGTGGTTCTCTAAGAACTCCTGGGCTTCATCTGTGTCCCTGATACACACATGTTCCTCGGTGCTGCCCTGTGCTCGGAGCAGGGGAGCCAGGGAGGAAGTTCTGCCCACTCCCACTCCCACTCCCACTCCCACTCCCACTCCAGGGATCCTTGCCTTCTCCACCAGCCTAGCCCTAAGGACACAGGTGGCAAACAATCCGGCCCTCCACCTTGTTTTATCCGGCCTGGTACCTTGTTTCTACCTGGTGGCAGCAGTGCCGAGCTCCTTGCCCCTCATGAAGGAGGAGTTACATTTATACAGTCGGCCCTTTGAAGGCAACCGCGAGGCTGATGTGGCTGCCGGTGAAAATGAGTTTGACACCATCCTGCTTAAGGGGGTAGAGAAGGCAAGGGTTGTGCCCATTTACAGGAGGAAAAACAGGCCTATTGAAGTGACTGGGCAGTGGGGGCAGTTGCCCACACGCTTTACCACTGTTCTAAAAGCCCCAGCCCCCTTAAGTTCTTTTTTTTTTTTAGACTACTTGGGACAAACATCGATAAGTAAGGTAAAAGAATATTCTGTGTCTCTTCGTCCCTTCTTCCAAGAATTTCTCTCCAGTGGTAATTTTCCCAGTAACTGGTAACATTTTAACAATAAAAGGTCTTAGATTACACTGAGGGAGCTTGGAAGTAGCCTTTGTGAGGTCAGTGATGGACACTTTTACAGACATCTCTCCGCTGTAACTGAGGAGGTTACGTGTATCTTGGCCCTTCAACCAGGCTGACTCCTGAGTTCAAGACTGTTCGAAAGCCCCCGGGGTCCGGCCCCACGTGGCTCAGACCCAGCTGGGCATGTCTCCGGAGGAGTCTGCTGACCTCTGTGTGTGGCCTGGCCAGTGCTGGAGGGGTGTCTGGGCCTGATCTCGAACCAGCGCTGCCGCCAGGGCCGGGTCTGCCCTTAACTCTTCCTGCTGGCCTGGCTCAGGGGACCTGCCGTCACGGTGGGCGCTGAACTCAGTCTGAACTGACCGACCTGTTGACCAGAGGAAAGATATTAGTGGGGAAATTGGTGGAATGCAAACGAAGTCTATGGGTGTAGTGTATCGATGCTAATTTCCAGATGTAGAGTGTTGTACAATCTACAGGTGTAGTGGTTATGTGAGATGGTAACAATAGAGGAAGCCAAGTGAAGGAGATTTGTAGTGTATTATGTAAGTCTAAAATTATTTCAAAATAAGTACTGAAGGCTTTAAAAGAAGATAAAGCTGAGAGTATTTTTAAAAGACAAACCCTGGCGTGCTCCCCGGCCATCCCACCAGACCTGAAGCGACGTTGCTGACACCGCAGTTGTGCTAACCCCAGGCCGGGACGTTTGGGTACCGGGTTGGGGAGAGGAGGCCCCAGCAAAGCCTCGTGTGACGCCTCTGCTTCCCTGTGCAGAACGACACCCTCCTCTCGTCCCCACGGCCATGAGTCCTCTGAGCCATGAGATACAGGGGCAGGGGAAGGGGCAGGGCCTTGGCAGTCAGACCGGGGTTTGCAGCCCGGGGTGCCACTCGCTTTCTCCCGTGTGAAATGGGAACAGCTGCCCCATCTCCCTCTAGTGGTGGTTTGAAGATTCAGCGATCTGGTGGCCACAACGCCCTTCCCACGGGGTGCACCCGTGGGCAGCAGGCACTGGTGCCTTCTCTGCTCAGTGGGCTTGGCGGGCTCCGATCTCTGGGAGGTGCCCGGGGCTGGCCAGGAGGGCAGTAGAAAGGCATCCGCCCTGGGCACTCACCGGGGTCTTCTCGCCAGCTTTCTCCCAGGTGATGGAGAACACGGCCTTCTTCGGGGACGTGGTGCTGCGCTTCCCGAGCATCGTGCACCACTACTTCGACCACAACTCCAACTGGAACCTCCTCATCCGCTGGGGCATCAGCTTCTGCAACCAGTCGGGTGTCTTTGACCAGGGGCCCCACTCGCCCATCCTCAGCCTGGTAAGGACTGGGGCGGAGGCGGTCCGGAGCCCTGGCTCCCAGAGTCCCGTGAGTCTCGCAGCTGCCTGCAGCCGGGCCTGACCGTCAGCCCTTGGTTGCGTTTTCTGTGATCAGCCTCAGGGCACCTCGAGGTGCCATCGTGAGGGGTCCTGTGCCGACTTCAGCCCCTAGGGGTCATCCCCCGGCCCACGTCTGCCCAAGTCTTGAGCCCTGGGTTCCAGCGTGGAGGGAGCGCCTCACAGGTGAGCAAGAGGCAGGAGAAGGCGGAGGATGACTGGCTTTTCCTCGTCCGCAGATGGCCCAGGAACTCGGGATCAGCGAGAAAGGCTCTGACTTCCAGAACCCATTTAAAGTAGATCGCACAGAGGTGAGCTGTGGGGTCTGTGGCTGTGTTTGTCTGCCTCTGCTGGGCCTCGGGGAGCCAGGTCCTGCAGGGGGTTGGGTGCCCGGGGTGGAGCCTGAGGGTCTTGGACTTGGAGCCAGACATGCCTGGGTCTGGGTCCGGGAACCGTCACTTACTCACTGGTGCCTGCACGCTGCCCCTGTGTTAGCCTTGGGCTGCCTGTGTACTCACAGCACGGGGGGCCCGGCTGCAGGGCAGTCGGAGGCTGTGAACACATACTTCTCCGTGTACAGTAGACACCGCACAGCACGTACGTGTGAGGGAAGCCGGGGGAGGTCAAGTCATGCTCTTCTCTGTCACTGAGCCTCTGATCACCCAGCCGGGCTTCTGTCCTACATTCTTGTACCTGTGTCCTTCTCAGGGGCTGAGGTGGGCTCTGAGGGCTGGGGGGTAGGACGACAGGTAGGGGCACACACGGTAGAGGAGAGGATCAGAGGTGGCGGGGGGACAGAAGGGTGGGAAGGAAGGGCTGGAGAACTGACCCCTCAGATCTCAGGCTCACCCCTGGTACAAGAAGGGGCGGGGTGTCGGGGTTTGAGGGGAGCCTCAGAGTTTCCACCCAGCTTGCAGGCCGACAAGCCAGCCTGCTCCCATGCATGGACGCTGACAGGTCAGAGACGTCAGAATTTACTGCAGCACAAGCGTGTCTAGAGTAGGGGCTTGGTCGCGTTGGTTCCCCGTGTTCCCTGAGTCCCACGGGGGTGACAGAGGGGCCCAGGTAGATGCCACACAGGCAGTGGGTTTACGTCATAGCCAAAGAATATCAAGCTTGAGACATTTTTCACTTTTATAGTAAACATTCGGTTGCGAGGGGGGATTTGCATTGAAGACACCACCTCATCCTTCAAGGTTCTCTGCAAACACAATCTTGAGAAATGGCCCAGGTACAGAGTGGTCAGGGCTTTGTAGTCTTGGTGCGCCCAGCAAGAACATGCGGGATGCACAGGGCCACGTGGACATGCTACTTAGTCTCTTAAGCTGACCAGTAGAGGCTGGGACCAAATTTGTTCAGTTTGCCTCCTGTTGCGTTTAGTTAGGGCTGCCATCACCCCGACTACGCAGCAGGATGAGGCCAGCCTGCAGCATTGATGTCAGCCACGTGCTCCAGGGTCCCGGACTCCGCTGTGATCAGTTTTGGGGGAACCAGTAGGTCTTACCCTGGACAGTCAGATGTGGTCGAAGGCCAGTCTCCATCCATTGTCACCCACCCCAGAGTTTAGACTTACCTGCTGATCTTTGTCGTTATTGCCGGTAATTACACGGGCAGTAGATGGACCTGCAGCGACCCTCAACCCCGGTGGAGAGATACTCCATGGCCCACTGTCTCCCTCGTGCTACACTGGATGCGGGCCACCATTACACTGTTTGGCTGAATCCCAAGTGTCACTGCGCAGTTGCAGCCTCAGTGGCCCTACACGACAGAACCCCGGGCCACTCAGGCATCAGGAGAGGAGAGGGGTTTGGGTCGGGCACATTGGAACAAGGTTGTACCAGCCTGTGTGTCTGCACAGGGTCCTTCGGTAGCTGCCTTGGATGGCATCAGGCACAATGGAGTGGTTCAGTGCTGACCATGTCCACATCAGGTTTTCTGTCGCGTGCTTGAGAATGACACATCCAGCAGCTGGCCAGATGGTCATCTGCAGCTCCCCCTTGGCTTGGGCAGATCCTAGGACTGTTTTGCCAAGTGGTGGAGCTGGATCTAAGGCACAAAAAGGATGAATTGTTCTTCACATTTCCTCAGACCCAAGGCGTTATCCCAGACGCTGGGACTGTGGCTACAAAACTGGTGTGTCACGCCCCAGTCGTCCCCCACTCTCACCTGCATCTCCGTCCGGAAGGGGCAGGTGTGAGCGGGACAAGGGCACGTGCACAACATTTGCAGAGGCATCTCAAGTCTCCACCTTGGGCCACTGTGGGGGGACTCGGCAAGGAATGTACTCAAGCAGCGGCCATTATCCTCATGATCTCGGGCCCTGCCGTTCCAGTCCGGGACTCCAGGTCGTCAAACCAGAAGTACAGTCAGTTGTGTGCCAGCCCGCGGTGGCAGGTGCGCGCTGCCACCTCTAGTGCCGTGACGCCCGCACGTGCTGGCTCGATCCGCCCTGTGATCCCGTCAGTCTCGTCGGGGAGAGGTCCTCCCTGTGGGCATCTGAGTGACACGGACAGTCTAGATGTCTCTATGGTTAATGGCCCCAAAATGGGATGGCCATCTCCAGTCTGTAGTGTTGTGGGCGGCAGACCAAACAGTGGGACACTGACAACAGCTAGTAACAGTGCGACACACCCGGTCACAGGGAGTGTTGTCCAGGCAAAGGTGACGGCTTTAATGCAGATCACTGGCTGGCTGGCCTTTGTGGCAGCTGGGCTCTCATGGTTGTCGTAAGGGCTGATGGCTCTGCCATCCGTAGACAGCCACGTCAGGGGTCCCCACTGCACTTCCAGGTTGATGATTCGCTAGGACTTGGTTCATGGTCGCGCTCACAGCCATGATTTAGCACGGTGAGAACCGGCAAAGCAAAGTCAGCAAAGGGAAAAGGCGCAAGGGCGAAGTCTGAGGGAAACCAGGCACAGGCCGCCTGTCCCCTCCCAGTGGGGTCACAGGGCGCGCTTAATTCCCCCGGCAGCAAGCTGTGGCAGCGCGTGTGAAAGTTGTCTACCGGGGAAGCTCATTAAAGACTAATGCCCACGGTTGTTACTGGGACTGATCACGCAGGCCTCGCTGCCTGGCACAGGCCAAAACCCCAGACGCCCAGGGGGAAAGCAGGCGTTCCGCACGGACCCCAGTCAGGCCCCGTGAGCCGCTCTGGTCGGTCAGGGCGGTGGGAGCCCTCCCAGAACCCCAGTCCCCAGGGGCCAGCCTTGGAGGCAGGCCTTCCGGAGGGTCGCAGCGAGGGAGGCCCCGCTAACCCATTCTGCACAGCACCATTGGCCAGTAATTCAGCGCAACTGTCAGTGGACCAGGACTGAGTATTGAGGGTAACTTGTGAGTTGAGAGGGTCCTGTTGAGCCCGTGGTTTGTCACCCCTTCGCGTAAGCCCAAGATGACGAGCTTTGCCAAGGCTGCTTACGGCAGTCACAGTCCTGTTCAATGGACTCCGTAAGGGACAGTCAGGGCTGGGTTCTCGGTGGGCCTGGCAGGAACACGCGGGGGCGCTTAAGGCCCCAGCAGATTGCCTTTCCCGGTGCGGAGCGCCCCCAGGGGTGCCGTGTGGCCGTGACGCTGGCTCTGTCCTCACCCTGCAGGTCACACACAGGTGCCCCACACAGGTGGGGGGTGAGAGCCAGGGCCTCAGAGAGAGGGGGCTCCAGGTAGGGTTCGTTCAGCTTCATTGTAACGCGCCGCTCTGCCTGGACAGAACCAGAGCAGCAACACGCTCTCCTTCCTTCTCGTCCTCTGGGGACAGCCCCTAGGTTTTACACATTAAAAAGACTTTCAATTTTATTGATTTTAGAGGGAAAGGAAGAGAGAAAATTGCTTTGTTGTTCCACTCACTTAAACACCCATTGCACGCTTCTTGTATGTGCCCGGACCGGAGATCGAACCTGCAACCTTGGCATATCGGGACGATGCTCTAACCCACTGAGCTAGCCGGCCAGGGCTTACACACGTTTATGTCCAGCATGGACCCGTCCACTGGCGTGGCCCAGGCTTGCTCAGCGCCCGTCGTGCACTTCCTCTACATGAGCGAGTGTTCCAGGGGCCTCCCCCACTGTATGCGGCTATCACAGGCTCCAACTTGTGTCAGGCTGAGTGCTGGCCGTTGTCCCTCTCCAGAGGGGTGGCCCTCTCCCTGCCCTTCAGGGGCCTGACACATCTAATGGGGAAGGAGGCAGGGAAGCACGGTCCCTGTCCAGCGCGATCACTGTGCCCGTGGAGGAGGGAAGTGATGAGCGCGGGACCCCTGAGGGAGCCTGGCCCAGCTCTGCTCCCTCAGAGTGGGGAAGGCTGTGGGGTAAGTAAGAGCTGCCAGGTCTTACAGCTGCCTGGAAGGTCTCCCCAGAGCTGAGACCTTCGGGGGAGACCTTCCAGGCAGAAGGACCAGCTTAAACAAGGGCTCAGAGACACGGCCCGCTCCTTCCTTCCACGTTTAGTGAGCACCTGCCGACTCGCCCTGCTCTCGCTGGGGAGGACGTTCTAGTTGGAGGAGACAGTCAGTAAAAATACACTGTGCGAGGCGGTGGCCGTGGCTGTGGGGGGGTGCGGTTACGGAATCCCGGGGTAGGGTGGAGGTACAGTTCCTATCTTGCCTGGTGGGATGCAGAGGGTCTCAGTGAGAAGACTGGGAGGAAGTGAGAGCTGGCGTGTCATCGGGGGTAGGGGGAGAACTTTCCTGGCTGAAGGAACAGCAAGTGCAAATGGCCTGAGTTGGAAGCTTGTTTGGAGGGGTGGGGGGAGGTGAGTTGGAGATGTCGGTCAGCCGGGTCACAGGGCCATCGGAGGGCTCCCGGGAGCCTTGGCATCCACCCTGAGAGCAGAGGGACGGGCTCTGACTCACCCCCTTTGAAGGATCTGGCTGCTGTGCAGGGAATAGTTGGGGGGCCCAGGGTGGAAACAGGGACACTGGTGAGGAGGCTCCTGTGCTTTCCGCGTGGGAGTCGGTGGTGGCTTGAACTGAGTGGCAGCAGTGGGGCTGGCGACAAATGGTGAGGTTCCAGTTCCGCTCTAAGGCAGAGCCAGCAGGACCTGCTGCAGTGAGAGGGAAACCTTAAGGATGGCTGGAAGATTTCTGGCCTGAGCACGTGGAAGAATGGGGCTGCCATTGTCTGAAGTGGGGGGACTGGGGGCTGGATGAGGAACCAGGCCTTGTTTGTGGACCTGGTGAGCATCGGAATGGAGATGCCAGGGAAGCAGTTGGCCCCACGACTCTAGATTTCAGGGGAAGGGCTGAAGCTCAGACTACAAATGTGAGTCACGCATGCAAAGAAAAGATCAAAATCCGTGGCCAGGAGGCCGTCAGCGGCGGTCGGAGGGCGGGGGAGAGGGTCAGGGCAGATGGAGGGGCAGAGTGAGGGCCGGGGCCCGAGATGTGGCTGCAGCGGGGGTTGGAGGGAATGAGGAGGAGCTAGCGAAGAGCCCCAGGAAAGACCAGGCAGTGTGAGAGCCGTCAACCCAAGCGTGAGGTCGTTTCCCAGAGGCCGCGTGCATGAAGGCAGGTGCAGGAAGGCGTGATGGGCCCGTGGACCCTGGTGGGGTGGAGAGGAGAGGTTAGGAATGCGGGGCCCGAGGCCCGCCACCGGGCTTAGCAGCATGGAGGCCATCGGAGATCCTCACAAAGGCTGTTTTGGGGGAGGGGTGAGGACGGAAGACTGGATTTCCAGAGGGTGAGGGGGAAGGAAGCAGACTCTGGAGGTATAGCCAACCCTTCTGAGGAGTTCGCTTCCCCGGGGAGCAGACCAGTGGGAGAGTAGCCGGGGTGGGGGGGGCCATGTGGGCTCGAGGGGAACTTGAATGTAGTCAGTGGGAGAGGCTGGTACGTCTGCATGCGGACGGGAGCGACTCGGGAGGGAGGAAGGACTCATGGCCTGGAGGTGGGAGGGCGGCCCGGCCTGCTGGGGAAGGGGCCCCGGAAAGGGTTAGTGGGCAGTGTTCCTCTCCTGCCCCGACTAGATCTGGGCTCCCCCACCACGGCTGAGCCCTCTGAGGCTGAAGGGGCGGGGCCTCTCGACTGGCCTCTCCCCAGCCAGAGCCAGGAGGCATGGGGGTGGCCTGACGGGTCGCCCAGCTCCTCATCTCCCCCAGGAGGCCCAGGGTGAACTCGGAGGGACAGGAGGTGGAGTGTGGCAGGGGGAGCACTTCATGAGGACAGGGGCGCTGGAAGGGGACTGGGCGTTGGGGAGATTCAGCCATGCCAGGTTGGGGGCACATCTGGGACATCTTAGTGGAGGTGCCAGGCGGGCACTTAGATATGGGGTGCACATTCCAGGGGTAACTGACCGTACAGATGTAACGGGAGCCTGGGTTTGGAGAGAGTACGGGGAAAGGCGTGCGGGGCCCGGGGTTGCACTTTAAGAGTGCCCCAGCCGGAGTCCTCACCCTCCTCCCACTCCTGCTCACCCTGGGTTCCGTTTCCTCACAGGGCACCGCCCTCCACCGCCCAGCCTTCTCCTCCTCCCACCCCCTTTCCGGGGTCTGTCAGTGTGACCTGGGACCCATCGGCCTCCTGTGCACCCCCTCACCTGGGCAGGATGCACGCTGCCTCTCATCCTCCTACGCGGTGTGCGGCCGGGGCTTGGGGGTGTGCCCCGTTGTCAGCCCCCTCACTCTGGGGGCGGTCTGTTGACTGTCTCTCTGATGCCAGCGCAGGTTCACACCGTGGCACCTGCCCCTCTGCCTGGAATGTCCACCTTCCCTCACCCTCTGTGCTGTCGGCCTCTCAGCACCCACGAGCAGTTGTCCCCAAGCCCCCTGAACCATCTCCATGTCTGCGGGCTCCCTGAGGGCAGGGCCTGTGTCTAGCAGCCTCCCCGTCCCCACGGCCCGCAGTTGTCCCCGCGGCCCGCAGTGGCCCGGCTCACGGGAAACCGCCGCCAGCGGACTAAGTCCGACCGCCCTGCTCTCGCCCTCAGTTCGTTTCTAGCGCGGACCCTCTCCAGAAGGCCCTGAGAGAAGAGGAGAAACGCCGGAGGAAGGAGGAGAAGCGGAAAGAGATCCGCAAAGGCCCGCGGATCTCCAGGTCCCAGTCCGAGTTATAGGCCCGTCGCAGCCCAGGGTTCGAGAGGCCAGGAGGAAGAGGAGGAGGCAGCACGGCCGAGGGCAAGCAGTGCTGACCGCTTGGTGGTGAGAGCCGGCCCCTGTGAAGGGAGGTCCTGTTCGCTTGGCCCCCTGGAGCCGGCTTTGAGGCCCAGCTGAAGAGACTGGGCTGCGGAGGGCTGGACTTCCTCCCGGGGGCCTCCCTGGAGGGACGGGGCGTGGAGGGGCCCTTCAGAGCACGCCGTGCTGCAGATCTAACCCTGCGGAGAGGCTGGGGGAGGGAGGGGGGGCCGGGGCTGTCCCCTCCCAGGGGGTGAGGGCTGGTGACCGGCTGGCTGCTGTCCTTCATGGGGAGGTGGCAGAACCAGGCTCTGAGCTATGCGTGGGGGTGCCACACCTGCTGCTGGCTCTACTGTGTCACTGAGCCACGTGGTGTGAGTTCCAGCCCCCTGCAGAGACACAATAAAAGCCAGCTGAGCCTCTGGGCAAGCCACAGCTGTTTTGGGCCCCAGGTAGCTATGAAGCCCTTCACCAGGCAGGTAGCAAGGGGCCTGGTTTGGGTAACCAGAGGCCCTCAGAGACGTAGTGAGCACCTGCGAGGGTGTTCCCACCTCATCAGGAGAGCCCCCGGCCCGCGGGAAGGCGGGCGGGGGGGGGGCGGGGCAGTGAAGCAGCGCCTTGGCTTGGCCTCCTAATCCCTTCTGAGCACTGTCCTTGAGGGATCAGTGTTGGAAAGGGACAGGAAGTGTCCTAAGAACGCATTTATCCAAGGTGACCTTGGAGCAACAGGATCTCTGTCCTCCACTGTCTGGGGACAGCCATAGAACCGGCACAGGGAAGTGCTAGTTAGCCTGTCCTCTCTGGCAGTGCTGGGAGGCCCTCAGACTCTGGGCAGGGGGCAGGGGGGCAGGCTGCAGCTCTGCAGAAGGCCGTGCTTTGTGATGGCAGAGCTGCCCCAAGCCGGACTGGTCAGTGAGCTCTCCGGTTCAGGACGGATGCAAGCAGAGGCCTGTGCCACAGGGCGGGGAAGCCGCAGGCTCTGAGTGAGCAGCTGCCTGTCAGTTGTGCTCTCCCCAGGGAGAGGAGGGAGGGGCTCTGGGGGGGCGTGGATTCTAGCTCTGTCCCTTTGACCTTGGCCAGCCAGGGCCTGCCTCTTAACAGGGGAGAGATGTACCTTTCCTGAACCCACCACCACCACTAGCACCACTGTCAAAGCCCAGGGGAGACCCAAGTCTTGTCTCAGCCCATCAGACCTGCTGAGTGAGCCTGGCCCACCTCTTGTCTGTGCTGTGGCTTCATGGACAGAATGAGTTTGATGATGTCTGAATTGCTTGCCCAGCCCTTTTCCAAGGCTGGGCTCTGGCTTTTCAGTGACAGGTGTCCTTCTCGGATGGTTCTTCATTGTCCTATAGATTTGCTAAACACCCACTGTAAGCACAGCCAGAGAGAGGGGCCCAGTCTTCACCTCCACCCCACCTGATACCTTTATCCCCCTGGGCTCCTCCTCCTACACCTTCAGCTTCTCTCCGTCTTGGTCGGTATCTTCCTTTCCATCTTCAAATGGTTCCACGTTTTCCCATGTGACACTGTCAGAGAGACAGACAGAACCACCCACTTCCCCTTTCTCCTTCCCGTTGCCGCACTGCTGATTGTTGTGGTCACTAGTTCCTGGAACTCCACCTTGAGTCTGACTGTAGGCGGAGCCTGTCCACCTCCCCCGCTGGGAACTGTAGAGGCCCGAGGGTACTGTTTGTCCAGCCTCCTCGCGGCTGGGATTCAGTTCTGTGGCCGAAGTGCCACTACCAGCCTTTGCAAGTGGTGCTGGTGGAGGCAGTGGCCCCAGGGGGCAGGGGGGTTCCTAGGGGCCACATCAGCTCCAGGGATGCCCAGTGATGCCTTCGGTGTTGCTTTTAGCGTGGTCTTAGCCCTTGTTCCCGTTGAGCTTCCAGGCCCGATCTGAGACACCTGTGGAAAGTCTTGGAGTTCCCAATATCCCCTAAGGCAGGTCTTCTCAACAGTGGCACCCACTGTTTACACTGGGGGCCACATAATTCTTTGCTGTGACTGTGAGGAGGGCTGTGTCTATTATAGGATATTTAGCAGCATTCTTGGCCTCTGCTCACTAAAGCTGTAGTAATCTCCCAGTATGACAACCACCCATGTCTCAGACACTGCTAGACGTCCCCTGGGGGCAAAGCTTCCCTGGCCCACCCGCCACCCCTCTCCCCACCACTGCAGCCCCCATCCCCCTCTGCTGAGCCCTGTCGCCGCCCTCACGCAGAGTGGTGCTGTTGACGGGTCTTGGGGATCCGCCCAGGCTTCTGGGCCACCGTGTCGTCCTGGTTCTCTGCCCGCGGTCTGAGCCTGCTCTGTCTCTTCCTGATCCTTCTTTCCTCACCTGCGCCCTAAATAAAGAGGTTTTTGTTTTGGTTTGTTTTGGTTTGGTTTAGTTTCCCCTGTGCTGCTCTTGACAGCTGCATTCTCTAATACCACAAAGCTGATGGCACTTGTCCTGTTGCCACCTGGTAACCCTCAGTCCTTATGTTTTAGCTTATCCAAAATCAAATGTATTTCCCACCCTAAAGCCTCAGCTCTGTGTCAAATCCTGGGGTACCTACTCTTGCTTAACCCCGGAAGGGGTGATATCAAAGCTGAGCCCAGGAAGATTCGTGGAGGAGGGAGAAGGAGACCAACTCTGTGAGCAGAGGCCTGGACGTGTAGGCATCCAAAGTAGTGAACGGGAAAACATGCCAAGCTCTTCTCTCTGACCTCTAGCAGGTGCCCGGTCTACGGTTGGTATCTGGACATACCGGTCATTTAGTGCAGTCCCTTCCTTTCCCAGACGAAGAACCCAGGGTCTGAGGAATGACTTGTTTGGGGCTGGTCGCTCCCTGGGAGTCGGCCTTGGTTCTCCCAGCCAAGGCAAGGTGCCAGCGCAAAGAGCTGTTGTTCAGTTAGGGGAGGTCCAGGGCTGGAGGGAGAAGGTCGGTATTTTGCTGAGGCTGGGCCCAGTGCCAACATCTTCCATGGTTTCTATGGAGCCTTCATTTGTGTCCCCTTCAGGCTACCTTGCTAGGAACCAGGGCCTCTGGGCAGGCCCAGCTGGGAGCTGTGGGGGGTTACTGAGGCTGGGGGACGGGAGGGCACCGGACCAGCAGATGGTCACCTCCGCCCTGTGCGGGGAGCCCCGTGAGAGCCACCGAGAGGTGTGGTTGAAGGCCGCAATGCCTGGCTCAGAGCCGGGTCCAGAGCAGGGTGGCAGGGTTTGGTTTTCTGTCTCAGGGTGAGACTGGTGTGCAGTGAACACCAGCTCTCCAACATGTAATGATGAGAACATTCTTGTCTTTTTCCCTGAAAGTAAGACTTTATTTATGTTATACAAGTTTATTATAAAAAGCATATTGAACTACCAAGAAGACAGTAAACTCGACCCTGAACCCACCGTTCCCATAACCATGACTGACACTCAGCTGTTGGGCCTTCCATTCGTTTGCCTTTCACGTGAGCAAATAAATCCCTGTTTTTTCTATTACAAAAGCTACCTCGTGTGGGCACTTACCGCCCTGTAGGCCCTGTGCCAGGTGCTGCCGGCACGGCTCCCGCTGCCTCGGGGCCCTCATCCTGGTGGCCATTGCCCCGGCCACACCACCCGCAGTCCTCTCCTCGTAATTTTAGGTTTCGTCTTCAATGTCAGAGGCCTTTCCTGACCATCCCGCGTCAGGTCCCTTGTTACAGTTTCGTCACACTTTCCCTTGATCACTCGTACTGTTATCTGTTATTTATTTTCATGTTCATTTCTGTTGACATCTGTTTTCTTCACTGGGCGGGAAGCTCTCAGAGGGCAGGAACTGTTTGCTCGCCTGCCACAGAGGTGTTCAACACACGTTACAAAATGAACGTGCAGACGATCCCTTTAATGAGAGGGCACTGTGTCCATTTTAGAGATGACAAAACCAAGGCGTAGAGCAGTCAAACTGCCCAAGGTCACGCTGCGTGAGCGAGTCTCTCTGTCTGCCTCCGCACAGCCTCTGTGCTCGTACGTCCTGACCACAAAGCAACAGCTGCCTCTCACCCTCGTAGGGAATATACTTTTCCCTTTTAACAATATACTGCAGCCCTGACTGGTGTGGCTTAGTGGATCCAGTGCCAGCAAGGGAACGGTCAAGGGGTTCAATTCCCGGTCAGGGCACATGCCTGGGTTGTGGGCCAGGCCCCCATCTGGGGGCGTGTGAGAGGCAACCACACACTGATGTTTCTCTTGCACATGGATGTTTATCTTGCTCCCCCTTTTCCCCTCCTTTCTCCTTTCTCTGAAAATAATAAAAATCTTTTTTAAAAACCAGTATGTTGCAAAAGTCTGTCAATAGCTGTACATTTATCCACATAATGTTTAATGATGTCATGGTATTCCATTGTGTGGACGTCACTGATTCATGCGGCCCCTCAAGGGGCTCCCTAATTTCCCAGTTCCAAAGGACTTGCCCACTTGTCTGAGCACTCGTCCTTTCATTCTGTAGGATGTATCCCTAGACGCTTGCACATTTGTTTTACATCGCGGCTAGCTCCAAGATGGGGGGCCGCGGGCTGCCCGAAGGAGTGGGAACCTGTGGGGCGGCTATGCGTCAGAATTCCTGCGCCACTTTAGCAAAATGCTCACGCCGCACCCGCCTCAGGAGGCTCGTGGTAGCTCTGGCGCTGGCGGCGTTTGAAAGGTCTGCAGGCGGTTCTGAGGAACCCGGGGTGAGACCCGGAGGAAGAAGCGCGTGGTCGCGGCAGGTGCGAAGGCGCAGAGGTGGCCAGCGTGCCTCGTACTTGGACAATTCGTGGTCCACGTGGAGCCTCAGTTTCCGCCTTTGTAAGGGGCGTGGGAGGGACGCGGTTTGAAGGGTCTCGGACTGTTCCGGGGCCCAGCGTTCGGGAGCCAGATCCGATTACACTCGCAGTCCCAAGCCGGTGCGGGGAGGGGGGAGGGTCGCTGGGAAGATGACGTAATGTGCTCACAGCCAGCTCTGGGACTGCCTGGCGGGCGGGGGTGGAGCTTGTTAACTCCGCAATGCCGGGCGGGTGGATGGAATAGCTTGTGGAGCAGACCCGACGGAGAGGAGCGCGGCTCCTTTAAACTAGGGGAAGGAGGTTGGGCCGAGGACCAGGAGGCTCCTATTCGCATTCGCTACCACACCGCGAGGGGAGGGGTTTCGCTATGCAAATCTGAGCTGCTGATCGCTGACGCGCAATCACCCCACGCGCGGCTTCGCGCGCCGATTGGCCGTGACGAGCCTGGTCCCATTGACAACAAACGGGGGTACGCGCGGCCTGGGGGCGTGGCCGCAGAGGGCGCGGATTGGGGCGGGGGAATCCCGCCCCGCCCCTCCCGCGCAGCGCAAACATGGCGGAGGGTGACACCGGCCGGTGAGGCGGTGCCGGGCGGAGGCTGTGGGGTGTCATGGGTGGTGGCGGCGGCACCGCCCCCGCGTCTTCCTGAACGGGCGGGCA